AGGCCAGCGCCTTCCAAGCGAGGGACGGGGCCCCGGGGCGCTCCCGCCTCTGAGGGCGGCCGGGCCGGGCGCAGGCTGCAGCGGCAGAGAGAGAGGTGTTCCTCGGGGGAGGGTGTGGTTTTGTGGTGCCGCAACTGGCCCCGGCACGCAGCTGTGCTGCAGCGGGGGTTTTCTTTACCAAAAGATGGCACTCTTACATTGCGATTAGTGAATGTATTGGAAGCAATGTAGTCTTCCTCACACCAGAAAGAACAGCTGGGGGGGGGGGGGGGGGGGGGGGGGGAAAAATATAGAAAACTTTCCTCCTCCAGGAAAAGAAGCAGAAATGTAAAATGTTGGGATAATTAAATGGTAAATATTAAATTAAACTTACTAAGTGCCTGGTACTTGTTCCTTATAAAAACTTAGTGTTGTGAAATGCAGAAAAGATACTAAAATACATATTTTTCTAGATTTGGTCTCCTAGATATTTACAAGTGTGACCTGAAAACAAAGCTTTTGGTTTTCATTTATTGTTCATTGTGGAGATCCCTTTAAATTCCCTATGAAACTTTTGCTGGACATCCAAGTTATATTCCCTCTTCCTGGATGAAAGGAATTTTGTTTATTGGCCTGTGGGGGGTACTGATCCCAGCTATGATCAGTTTGTTGTTGTTTCTTTTTTTTTTTGTGGAAGAAGCATGTAAACATGTTAACAGAGGTACCTTTGTAAAGGTTGAGATCAGAGTTACTAATTTGGTGGTGCTGTAATGCAGATGTGTTAAAAGATTAATATATCTGTATCCTTTTGGGATGTTCTTTGACCTGTCATCAGGAAAACTCATGCCTGATGGCTTGACTGTATGAACAAATTTCAGTTCTTTAGAAGTTGCCATTTGTCAGCTTCTCCATGATAACTCTGTGTGCCTCTGTTTCAGCAAACAGAGCAATTTGAATTAGCTTCACCTGCAGTAAAAGGTGTCTTAATTTAAGTTACCTTACTGGATAGTAAGCCCATGTTAACTGTGTTTGCTGCTACCCTGGGATAGCTGTCCCAAAGGTGATTCGATTGTTTTTCCAGTCCTTACGGGCATAACCGATGGCCTGGCCAACCTGAACACTTGCTGGAGTTTATCTGCTAGTCTTGTTCATCGCTACCTTCAAAGGACATACCCTCATCTGCACTATGGAAAGCTGGGAAGCCAGAATAGTACTGTTGTATTCTGCTGTTGTACTGATCATTGTGATCACTGCAGCAGTTCAAAAGTGTGAACTCAACTCACTCAACTCTCACACCTGTAACTTTTATGATAAGGAGTGACCTCAGAGGGCCAGTTATGATAGCTGACTGAAGAAGAGTTACTCCTAGTAATAACCAAATAATAACCTTGGTAATAACCAAGCTGGCAGCAGGAAGGAGTTAGATTTTAATAAATCATGTTTGACTGATGTCCTTCCGTTTCTGGCCTACTAGCTTATTACAAAGTAGGCTCTTTCATGTGCCATACTTGCCAGTTGTAACTTGTCATCACAGTTCCTGTGCAGCTCGTGTCTGTGTTTGTTTTATTCGTGGTTTTGTATCTTTGTGAGCTGAGAAGTAATTTTGTGATGGGAAGAAGCAGAGGGGACTATCTGAATTCTATGTGGAATTCATGAATTGTATCTCTTCAAATACACTACATTTTTAATAAATGTATTCGGTTGGCATCAGAAATGGTATTTAATGGTAAAGCAACTTCTAATGCTCAAGTTGTTCCTTAACTGTATGGGGAGATGGAAAGTTCGATTTGGAATCATAAAGATCTTCTGAGTAGATTAAGAGGAAATACTTGACTGGGTTTAAAAAACGTTGCCTACTCTCTCAGCCTAACTTTTTCAATGCCTCTGGAAAAAATGTTACTGTCTAAATAAAGCGCTGTTTAATGGTGAGCTGATGTATCAGAATGATAGTTTTTATAACTAAAAAAGTAAATTCAATTTTAAAACGTGTAATTGCCTGTGGTTTCTTTTGACATCTGGATACTTTTGTTTGAAAGTGTCTTTTATGTTGGTCATTACCCTTGTTTGAGCTCCGTGTGAAAGCCCCTACTCTATGCTGAATCCTCCTTATGCAGTGTTCTGGCAAACTCTTCCAAAACACAACATGAATTTCCTAAAGGAAAGTCTTCAGAAGACTCCAGTGCTGAAAAGATAATGTCAGAGATTTTGTTGGAAGGAGAAGATAGTCACCAGGTTTTTTCTTCCTTCCCTAAGCCTTACTCTTATGAGATGGAGGTACTGCTTTAGGACAGGGCTTTGATGTTTGTTTTAATATACAAAACTAGGCCTTTCTAGAAATCTCCCTGACTCTTTCGCAGAGATACAGGAGAACAGTCATATTTATGCAGAATTTGTGCAACTGTATAACTGAGTTTATAAAGACTTGCTATGGGGTAGTTGGAATGCTCCTCAGTTATTAATTAGTTAAGCTTAGACTTTGTCCTAGCTTTATGAAAGAATGTTCACTATTTGAACTTTTAATCAACAGCAGTTGGCTTGGAGGGATTCAAGAATGCTGCAGTGTTACGGCAGAGTGGCCCTGCAGTCCTTGTTCTGCAGAGAAGGCTGGAGACTCATCTTCAGGTATTTTTTTATGTGAAGGGAAATATTTCTTAGAGTTACTCTATAAATTTATGGATAAACACTTAAAGGAAAAAAAACCCTCTAGCTGTTGCGTCTCAGATGCTCCTCTAATTTGTTACTTTGATTCTCTTCTAGGAAGGTCTTGGTGGGGTTAGACTATAGTATGGGGTGTGGGGAAATGTGTGTGACTTCTTTGCTGTCAAGGAAACATCTCTGACTTGAGACAGTACAAATATTCTAAGAAATATGTCACTCTTTAGTAACATTTGTATAATACACAACAAGCTAATAGGAGTGTATAGCATTTAATATTGTACAGAATAAAGACAAATGTGGTGATGGCCATTTGTAGAACGTGGTTTAATATATTCAGGTTTTATTGAAAACCAGGGTTTAGCTTGTGGAAAAAGTTCATTCAGCATAATCTCAAGCTTCATCAGTCCTCCTTGTCTTGGTGTTTACATCATAATACTAATATGAACACAGTTTGGGGGGGAGGGTTATGTGTTTATATTTCTTGGTCTTTGTAAAAAATCAAAACCCCAAATTGCCAGTTGGCACCAGAACAAGTGCTTTCTCTCTGATATATTCTAACTATAAATTCTGTAACGCACACACACAGTCAAGAAGTGCTGCACTTGTTTTGCAATGTTTGTGTTTGGTGCGTGATATCTGAAGGTAAGTTTGTGGCATATATAGCCTACAAACTTTTAGAATGGTTAAAGTTCATAAAGAAAAGGTGTTTTATGAAATGTACAGGTCATATTAGTAAGTTTTAATTTGTTCAGTTTTATGGGTATTACTACTTCATGGGTTTTGTAATACTTGGCCGAGTTCTGATGTTATCAGCATAGGACAGAATTTAATAAGGAAAGGGTGGGTGATCTAGTATGGGGACTGCCTCCACAAAAGGAATTATAATAGTAAATATTTAAGTGAAGCAGCTTCATCATGAAAAGTGGCTTTGTGCATATTGAACAGCTCATAGCTCATTCTCCTGGAGAAATGCAGGTGTTTCTGCATTTCTGGTTGTTCTAGAATACAAGGTGAGCAGAATACAAAATGCAAATACGAAATCCCTCAATCCAGCACATCTTGAAAACCTTGGAAGAATTCCGGAAAGTCATGAATGAAAGTGGATGTGACCTTGTCTACATCAGAAATAATTTTCTAATCCTTTCTTTGCCTTATTATAGTTCTGAAATATCCCTTAATTTCTCACAGAATAGCTTTATTCTTTGTACTTACTTGGTTTTTTACAAATTCTTTTTTATTGAATAGAGGCTACCAAATGTTCTCTAACAGAAAAATGTGATACAAGCGCTATTTACTTTCCTGTTAAATTCAAGACTTGTACTGTAAAGTATAAAAAAGAATCACAGTACTTTGTAGCTGATAAGAATGTCCATGTAAACTTACTTGGGGATTATTTCTGTATCATCTGTGACAATGTAACTCAATTAGGAGCAAAGTCTGTATTGCAAGGTGAAAAACTCCCAGTAATCTGCAATGATATTTTAATAGTTTTTTACTTCACTCTGAGAGGCCTTAAAGGCTCATTTGCATACATGAACAAAATGCTGCATTTGACTCACAAATGAGGTTTAAACTCTCTGGGGAATATTCAGAAGCTTGCCTGATCACACAGGCACAGCTTTCTAAGAGATGTATCTGTGTGGGCTGATCTGAGCAGCTCAGTGGAACCAGTCTGCTCCAGGGCAGTGACAGGAGAGGTTCACAATAGGAACATGCACCTCTCTGGAATGCCTCGTTTATTCTGTATTTTGAGTTGCCCTTTTTCCCTCTCTGAAAAAAAATCTCACTTGGCGGGAGGAAGAAACTCTAGGTTTTTCCTTCTTCCTTTTTCACTCTGGCACTGTGAGTCAGAACAATAATAGAGCCGCCCATCTCCCTTGCTTGTTGCTTTTACAGATGACTCGGTGTTGCAGCTTGTTCCTCTCTCCACCAGCAAAAGGTGTGGACTAATCCAAGAGATTATCCTTAGAGAATTTTGCTAGAGACTTGACTCTCTGTGGTTGACAATTGTAATCAATGACCTTTTTATTTAGAATCATACTATATTTTCCCCAAGTCTTACCATAGCATCTTGAGTTTTGATCAATTTTTCTTTTTGATGGGGATGGGTTTAAACTAGTGCTTGTTCAGAGATCTCTTTAGTACCCCTACGCGGTCATACACAGTCAATGCATGCATTATGTAACTAACTGTAAAGTCCTCTTCTGTGCTAGACTTCAGAAGACTTTTTAAATAAGTGTTTTGCTCTTGTGAAAAAGAACAGGGAATGTCCAAAATTACTTAATACGTCTCTGCAGTTGTTAGTACACTGCAGTTAACACATGGTTACTCTCTGGGCAGCCTAGAAAAAGCACTCCCTTCCAAACTGTTCATACCTTCTAAAAAGTACTACAGCAGGATAGGTATTCTTGGAAGCTTAGGTGTTTAAGATTGGTCTGAGCCAAAGATACAGTCAATTTTTCAATGAACTAGTTAGTAGATGAGGTGTGTGTGGGGTTAACCCTAGCAGCTGCACATCATGAAAATACGGTGACAAATTACAAAATAAGGACTGTATGGCTTATGAGCTATATAAAAAGGTCAGATTACAATTGTTTTAATTTTTATGAAGCCACTTCATTTAAAATATATTGAAGAATATCACACTTATATTTTATGTGTGTTATGTAAGAGAGTTACACTTGTCTATACATTAGGATTTTATTTTTTTTTAAATGACAAGTACTGAAAAGTCTGAGTTTTTACCCTACCTTTTCTTGAGAAAAGAATAAAAAAACAGGAAAGGAATTAATATAATAGTATTGCTTAAAGAAGAAAGAAAAAAAAAAAAGTCCAAACCTAAATCTCTATTCTTACAGCTTTTGGCTCTGATTTTGAAGACAAACCATCATTCTTTTGGAGTTTGTCTATGTACAGATTTCAGTCTTACTCCTTGTTATGAGAAAGGTACTTAGAATATAGGCCAAATATTTCTGACTCACAAAAGTCAGAATTTTTGTTGATTATTATTAATGGTATTTTTCACTTCTAAGTAGTAAGCATGGACAAATGAACACAGCTTTCCTTTTTTATTTGAGACACTTAGCAAAAATGCTGAAATATCAAACATTTCCTCAGTAGCTACAATATTGCCACTATGTACAAAATATTTGATAAATGTAGTACACATATAAAAATACAGTATGCATTACATATATACAGTACAATGTGCAAAACATATGGCATTCAAACATATGGAATTGATTTTAGGGGTGCAAACAGCAAATACAAAGGCATCATGGTTTTTTAGAGAAAGGCAATACATAAACTGACGCCCTGATTGCCATAATTTGCATTTAGTAAAGTAGTGCTTAAATGAAGAGGGCCCTAGAGACAGATGTCTATCTTCCTCTTTTCACAAAATGAGATGCTAAGACATAATTATGACTATGAAAATAAGAAGAGAAACACCTACTAGGGTTAGCGTTATTTCTACTGCAAGCAGTTCTGTGAAGAAAAATCCTATCTGGAAGAAAGCCTGTGCTATTACTTAATACAAATTTTTCAAACAACAAAACCAAATCTGTACTGTTAAACATCAAAAACAGCTTTGAAAATATCTACATCCTTAATTTTAAAAAAGTATGGATAATACTTTTGGGGATTTAATTTCCTATGCTTCAAAATACAAAGTGCCTCCTTTGGCAATATAAATGGCAATGCTTTGGTTCCTGTTTAAATGTTTATATTATTATAATTTATTTTAGACTGTCTTTTGAATATCTGAGCTGTATTTTTTATAAAAATAGTGTGATTATATAGTTATTAACCATTCCCTGCTTTTTATTGAGAATTTGCTCTCATAGCTAGAATGGCTTTTTTGGCTAGATTTCTACAAATACATTTATGCACTTTTAACTTAAAAAGTCTTTATATTCAGTATTGGACACTACAGAATGATGTAGGTGTCTCTTTTTTGCACTTTATATTTATTCCTAGCAAACTGGTATAAAAGGAATATTTGAGATTACTTCAGGTTTTAATGGATGCTCTTTATTGGCCGTGTATATACTATATGCAACTCCATTCCACGTATCTCACATAAAAAAAACATCAGTAGGATGGTCTAGAAGTCATCAAAAGGCAATTTAATAGACCGCAATATAAAGAGTTTTAACAGAACGTTTGCTGGAGATAAGTGGAAGAAAATTTTTTTCCAGTTTTAATAGAATTTGCTTTAAGTTTATAATACACTGAAGATGCCATCCAAATAATAATAATTGTTTACATTGGTGAGCTTTACTGTGTTTTGATTACATAATGCCCTTCCAGTTAAATGTATCCTGTGATTGCATTTTCTCTGCCTTGAAAGCAGTTCAGCAGCTTGTGCTTGGTTTCCACTTAACGGTGCCTACGCTTTTCAGGCATCTGAATGTTTGAGATTACGTAACATAAAAGTTTAATATTGACACTTCTATTCTGATCACCTGCTTCCTTGAACAGAACTCCTGTTGGTGAATTTCGAAATACCTTGGAAAGAAATTTCAGTATTAAGTAGTGATTATTTCTAAAAGCTGTGGCCTCAGCTTTTTAAAGGTCTGATTCTGCAAGCCCACATTGCTGGATTAGACTCTACACTTCTGTAGAGAACAACTGCCATAAATTCATTTTATTCTTGGAGAGAACTGCTAAATTTTTGACAATGATTTCTTAACTATTTATAATGTTAAACAAAATTTTGCCTGTAAACTTACTTTCCTTAACTGATGCTGAATGGCACTAAAAGTGCATAACAAATACCATTCCTGTATTAAACGCAGGATGTGACTCCTCTTGATTAACATTAGCGTTGTAAAACATATGTCTGAGCTCTCTGTGTCTAGAAGTGTGAACACCAACTTGTGATTTTCACACTGATAAAATGGTATTCTTACTTTGAAGGATCTACTAACAACACATTTGATAGGATGTGTTCTGTTAGTGTATTGCAGCCATTAAATGGCAAATTTAGTGCCAGTGCATTCCTTTGTAACTGTTCTCTTAATGAGAAATATATTCAGTTCTGTACAGTCAAACTGCACAGCCATGATTAAATTTCTAAGATGTAACGTATTTGTGTTATTACAAAAATCGTCATGTAAAACATGCACACACAAAAGTCTAAGCAAAACCTATTTCTGCCATAACAGGCATATATAACTATGGCGAATAGATCACATTTCAGAACAAAGTCTAAAGCAAACCATTATATATAAGGTTTAATACACATAATTCTGAAATGTACAAAAATGTAATCACAATTAAAAACTAAAATGATCCCTTAATTTTTTAATAATATTATATTCTTTCTTTTTTTTTTGCAAATAGACTTTTAGAGTAGAAAGCTATACTGTACTGATAACAACACATCTCAACTGTTTGGGTTTATTTCTGCACATAGATTCCTATGGATTAGTTAACATTCTACACTGCCAATAAGGATAGTTCTGTAGCAAGATGACTTTGCCAGTTTTAAGCTCTATTTACATGCACATCAAAAATGACAGTACAGTTGCTCTAGGTTAATTTGTCCTCTAAAAATTAATTTACTTGCCTCTTATTTAATGAGAAGGCAGGGTCAAAAGGGTAACTCTAACCACACACATGTGGTATGATGTCTGGTGTATCACACGTAATAAATTGACAGTACTGCAGAACACTAAATTTCATTCAAAGTTGTTTCTATCGGACCAAGAGTCCTCAATTCTTATTCTCGTAACAGCTGAGGGCACTTAGTATCTCAGAGTATTAGCTCCCAAGATAATATGATGAAAAGGAATGCAAAAAGTTGAATGTATTTGTTCAATGTTATTGAAGAGTCCCACACCATCAAAATTTAAGGCAGACAGTCCACGTGTAGTATTGTACTCAAGTATTGTAGGCACAGCAAGAAGGAATAAGGAAATATGTCTTTCAACTTCATCTTTTGTTGTGAAAATCTCCATAGATTGTTTTTCTGTACTTAGTTTCAGATTAAAGTAAATCCTGGCCTGTAGAACTAGTGAAGATATATAATGATTTAAAGTGCTGATAACTGATATGATGCAAACATAGGATGCCAGTTTAAACCCTGAATCAATGACACAATCCACTATTTTATCTGAAGCCAATGGAATTCTGTAATATAGTAAACCAGACTGCCTTGTATATCTGGAGACACAAATTTGCAGTTAATTCCACAACTTTTTCCTGACAAAAATATGTTTTTTAATGTTAACATGATTTTTTTTTTTTAAATGTGATACAGGTTGCTAAATAGTTAACAGCTACTTTCTCTTTTCATTATGCCTTTGATACATATTCATTACTCCAAGAAGTTAAGCAAAAGCTTCAGGGCATTTTTTCATTAGTCCCTACAAAACTTTATTTTTGAAGGTTGGTGGCAAGGAAGGAAGTCTGCAATGAGATCAGTTTTCAGACTAGAAAAAAATATCATGTTTCCGTTGTTCAGGAAATAGGGGACTGTTTCCTTTTATCTTAATTTAGGAATTCCCTAATAGGAAATAATTGCAATTCTATGTTTTATTATCAGCCTACGTCATCTATGGCAACATTTAAGAGCTATTACCTGAGAGAAAACCATAGAATTACAAAGTATTTTACTTCTATTTGCATTCTTTTGTTTGTTTTTCCAACTGCTTTCATAATAGACTCGGGAAAAAAACAACTAAGGACTTTAAAAAAATAATAAATAATATTTTCATGTGCTGTGAGGTAAGAGCTTAATTTTTGCTATTATCTGTTTCAGGTATGAAATGTGCCTTCTTATCACAAAACAGTACATCCTGATACGGTTTATTAGCCTTTTATAGGTTTTCCGTAAGCGTGTGCTATTTAGGATTCTCACTGAGCAGCTTCTCTGTTTAGCTTCCCTGATGTTATGTAGTGGTAGACAAAGCTGTTTAACAGATAAAGTATTCATTAAGAAATGATAGCTGTCCTGTCAGTACTGTCCCCTGCAACTCGGTCTGATCCTACAAACATCTGTTATTGAGGGCATTGGGACTATTCTTCCATAGATGCTTGCAGGATCATAGTGCACAACAGCATTAACTAAACTTTTCTACTTCCTCAAACTGTTCTAATATGCTGAGATACTGGATTCAATGATCTAACAAATATCCTCAAACACGAAGTAAATTAGGATATTTATTATTTCCTTTATAGTAATCTCTTGTTTGAGGACCACTGTTCCCCTCTGTTCACAAAAATAAGCTATACAAAGTTAAAGAGTATACAAATAACTGTCTGATATACACATTAAAATCTAGCTATTAAATCCAGAGCATTGCTATACAAAATTCAGTGTTCTCAATGTTACCTGGCGTAGCTACAGTGGATTTCTCGCAGTTACACTTAATGTCCCTTTGGATGGAAGTTAAATTCTTCCCTCATGATTAAAGAATGGGGGAATAGTTTTAAAACCCACAAAACCAAAATATAAAAACAACTTGAACAAATTAAGAGACTAGATATATGACATTTCACTGAACCAGCCAGTGCTTCTACTTGCCTTTGCCCTCACAATTCATTTTGAACCTGGCTCAGGCTATCCACAGGAACAATGAAGTGCAGTGATACCTCACCCTCCCCCAAACATTTGCTCACTGTGTCAATACAGACAGTTGAAATCTCACTTTTTTTTCTCTAAGTTTAGCCATGTTGTGTTGCTCATTTAAGCATTACAAAGTCAGAGACATAACTTTCTTAAATATTTGTGATGGATTTACCTTGGGGTACTTCTAATCAGTAAGTACAATCATCCTTTCTTGACTTGTGAAATACAGCTTTCAGAGGGCCCTGATCTGCATTACTCATAGGAGCATAAAGTAATTCACTGTTGTAAACTTGAAAACCAACAAGGAATTAGCTTCAAGCATTTGTTCTTCCGAACATTACTGTCTTAATTTATCTTAACTGCAATCAGAATGGTATAATAATGGACCTCTGCTGTAATGAGACTTCTCATTGGCTATAGCTTAATCCCAGTGCAACTGTAGATCTTGTGGATCTAGAAAGTCAGTGGAAAACATGCTGGGGGCAGTAGAACTGAGAGGAGTGAGTCCAGATGAGGAGCTGGGCATTGTAATGTCTAGCCATTCCATATTGTCCAAATTTGTATCGGGAAGGTCAAGAGACAGACAAGAATTGTTAGTGGTAAACTGCGGGTCGGATGTTTCCATGGGTGAATGAGAGTGATCTAAAATGCTGGAGTGATTAAGCAGATCGTTCTGGAGGTCTTCAATTAAAGAAAATGACTCTCTGTCCTCATTACTGCTTGTCAGCTGAGGAATTTCATTACCTGATGGTAAAGTTCCATCCAAGAGGGCTTCAAGTTGGTTTTCCAGACTTATAGACAAGCTGGTGGTTGGTTCTAAGGACACAGGAGGAGGGGCCATTTGGATTTGTGGTGGTGGGCGGGATATCACTGTATTCACTGGCATTGTAGTGATGTTGGCTGTTACTGGTCTCATTTTAGAAATGGGAGATGGTTCCTCCTTTATTGGAAGGGAAATCTCTGTAATAAAAAGAACCCCACTATTGAATTCAGAAAAGATAATGACATATATCCTCAGGCTTACAACTTCCACCCCTTTTTTGCCCACTTTAAGATGCATCCACCGTGAACTCAATGGAGTAAGAGTAATTTTGCTGTTCTGGTAATACAAACACTACATGCATCAGACTACATCAGATACTCTATGAACAACAAAGTATTTTAGAAGAAGTTCCAGAGTTCTGCTTTCAGTAATACTTTAGCCAATTAGAATATTTGTATTGATGAAAAAGGGAACAATTTTCTAGATGTTAGCTTTACCTCCTTCATGTTTATAGTTCTTCTGACTAATTAGAATAATTATGCAACCAACACATCTCCTCATTTAGAGAGGAGTACCTGAACCAATTTTCAGTTCCATCCCTGTTTAGTACTGTGTCCACCTTGATGAATTAAGAGTCTAAGAGATCAATTGATGTGATTAGGATGCATTTGTTCCTGATTCTAGAATCTAAAACTACTCTTCTGTCAAAAAGTTCCATGTAAGATAGTGGCAGTAACAATAAAAGGAAATAAAGCAAAGTAAGTTCCAATAAATTCTTATATGTGAATGGAGTCCAAAAATAAGATTAAACAGACCAGAATATGCAAATAAATCCTCTAGCACAGATGATGTTTCTGCCATCAAAAATATACCTGAGAATAGATTTTGCACCAGTTTTCCAAGCAAAAACCACATTCTTAAAACCTGTAAGAGCATCTATTGAAATGATTGCTTAGTAAAAAGCAAAGCATTACTAAGCAGACCCTCTCACTCTCTTGAAGTACATTAATAAACTAAACATTTCTCAGTGTAGAACTCGCTTACATAAGTGCAAGAGTCCTGATCATCTTTGTGAAAAATGAAGTAAAGCATTCAGGGAATGTTTGGTTGTTTATGGCAACTTCATAAATATGGAGCAGTTGTTACCTTTAAGATCAAACAGGTTTAGTAATGTAACACTCAAAGCAAATATTTAAGTAAGCACACCAATGTTTCCTACATCTCTGTTCCAGAGGTAGAACTTCTTCGAAGTACCCATGCAGTATTTTAATAAAAGCACTGAAAGCATTTTTCAATGTAGCTTGAGTTGTTCACTGCACAGGTCACTTATCTCAGTCTGTCACTGTCTACTCCATTTTCTTCACCTGACTTTGCAATCTGCTTTGAAAAAGAGAAAATACTTTGATGTTTAGAATATGGCTAAAATCTTCTAATAGCCTACAATCAGTTACTTACGTCCTGGCATTCACTGCCAGTGACAGTAGTATAAAACATTAAGTTAATTGAATTGCTTGGCACCAGAACGTTTCCCAGTATTGGAATGGCTTCTTAGTCTACAAAGCCTAATTATGCCTGAAAGCCTCCTTTTACTGCAAAGCTACTTTGCATATTACTTCAGTTATTTCAGTTCCTTTCTGATAGCTCCCTTATTTTAACTCACATAGAAAGTTGTAATTCATTAATGTGTCTATGTAGTTCATACATACTTTTTCCAGTAATGTATCTTTGATGTTTAGAGTTGATAATACATGGTTATATTTAATGAAATTTTAGTATCAATATGCTTTCAAACTCTTACCTTATTCTATTTTTTGTATAATTTCAATATACATTATATAGACTTGCTCAACTTTTCCAATTTTGATAAAATACGTCTATGCTAACCTAAGGTGTTATTTTAATCGTTTGAATGCTGTGTGGATGATTGCAAAGGTCTGCTTGGGCTAATTTACAAGCAGAGAAGTTCCACAGCAGGTTGACTGTATGCGTTTTGGTAAATGTTTTCTTTAATAGATAATTATTGCAAACTTTCAGAAATACTAGTTTCATCCAGGCTGGATAGCTTCTACCTCCTCTCCCTGGAAGAATTCTTTCCTTTGATTATAGCATTGAGTTTTTATTATTAGGTTTTAAATCACTACATCACACAGATGTCAATTAGCTTACCTCCACTCTTGATGAGAATATCAAAAAGATCATCCATCTGCTGACTGTGTGCACTGGAAATCTGTAGGGCGTGAGAAAAGGGTTATTCTTTTTCATGTAGTATTTTTTCCTATGCTCATGAATCCTAGCTTGTCTCAATAGTACGTAAGTACTAACCTATGATCAAGACTAAAATTCTTCATATGAAACTGTCAATCTAGAAAACAGGGAAATAGTTTGGCGAGACACTTGTAATCCCTGTGGTCGGTTTCAGTACAAAGGAATAGAGAAAAAAATCTGAAAAGCAAGACAAAGATTTCATGAAGGCAACCTAGAAGAGAGGTACAGAAAACTAGGGATAAGAAGGAGAATTACTAACCCTGTTTCATAGCAGGGTAAGTATCTGGAATAACTGCAGGGCTTTGGGGGTGCACCCTGAACTGCTTTCTCTCAGAGGTACCCTGCGAATAGCTATCATGTAAGATGCATTTTGTTAGGTACCTTTTTTTTTTTTTGTTTCCAATTTGAGGATTCATGTCCTTTTCTTTTTTAAAGGGGGGGAAGCTTTCATCAACTGTTTATCTGTTTGTTTTAAACAGCTATCTCCTGAATATCTGAACCTTAAGCAAAAGGTAAGAAAACCCCCACAAACCCGTTCTTTCAAAAACTGTCTAGGAAAAGTGGAGACTTTTATGATGGTCTCAAAACAGCATTTTAAAACATTGGTTATACTCCAGAGATGGGAAGTAATTTGCCATCAGGAGATCTAGCTCCTGAAAAGAGGCCAGTGGGGAGGCACTATGCTACCTGGTAGCGATAGTTGCGTAAGAAGATCTGTGTGCCTTCACTGTGAGGATGTCTCACACATGCCAAGAACATACAAAATGGCATTAGATACCCATGCTTCTGCCTGAGTGTCTGCCACCACAAAACCAGCAACCAATACTAAGTCGCTACAAAGTTTTATCTTTTGGGATAGTTCTGAAATGCATTAAGTTAGGGATGCTCATTAGTTTTGTTTACAACTTTCCTCCAACATGAAGGGTATCATGGTAAACTGACAAAGCACTACGTAGGATTATTAATCAAGCTCACTAGATATAGACTCTTCCGAAGCAAGCACCTCTGCTCGTGTATATTTATGTTTGCCTAAGTGTGTATAAACACACACACATTCTCAAGTTTACTCACTTTGGAAAACATATTTTTCTCTTTTAAGTCTGAAGTTTGGGTATCATACATCCTTGAAACAAGTCAGCTGAAGGCTAGTTATTGTTAAGTAGCAATAGCAGCATTATCCCAATTACATGTATCACCAACTGGATACTGTAAGACTTATTTACATGTCTGTTGCTTTAATAAAAAGAATCATGAAACAGGAGTCCTGTAGTTAAATACAGTTATGAAAATATTAACAGGGTATATTAGAAAATCTTGACACCAAACAAAAAACTACAATAAGCAATGGCTTTGATAATTCTAAAGAAAAAAAATGTTGTTAATAGACTAAACAGGAGAAAATAACTACCTCACGGTGCGATGTCTGAATATTGCGGGTCTGTTTTATGGCCTCTTCATAACGAGGAGGATCTTTTGTCTTGGATACTGTGTTGTTGAAGAGGGACTGTTGAACAATATAAGGCTGGGCTTGAGATGGAGAGCCAGGCTGCGTGAAATAACAAAATAATGACTAAACAATACGTTCTAGTGAATTCAAGATGTATCAAGTTCTACAGATTATTCTATTTTGTCATACCGATCTACATATTTACAAATAACAATAGCATAGGTAATCAGAGGGATAAAATAAATAGTTTTTCTCTCTTTCTCACACATACATACTTATATGCATTTTAAAATCTACAACACCTTCCTTCAGTGAACTGCAGTATGTACATAGTCACATGTTATTTAAGAATAGTAATATGAAACTGAACTTTATGGAACATTGTTGGGCTAATCTTACCTTATTAGGAGTAGCAGGTCCATTCTGCACAGAGGGAACCTGGTTACCACCAGTGTGAATGTTAGAGTTTGATGTTTTATTAATGAAAGATTGTGAAGGTGTTGTAACTGGTGCAGTCTGATAGGAAAATACTGTATTTGATGTGGTAGGTGGAAAAACCTGTAAAGGATTAATATATCAGTCTTAGGTTGTGGAGTTCTTTTTAAAATAATAACATTGGGTAAATGATATTAATACTTTTTTTTTTTTTTTAATACTTGCTTGCTTAAATTCCCTATTAAGGGAATGTTATTTGTACTGATTTTTCCCTCCAGTGGAATAATTTGTAAATCTAGAACAATTACTCTTTGAAAGAAACTTTGTGCTGTGACATGCTTTCATTCATCACTGATAACTAAAAATATTTTCCTCTGATTTTCCAGGAAGCATGAGAAAGTGTAATATAATTTTTCCAAAATACTTTCAGAAGAGTATAGAACAGTTTAATACAGTATGCATGATTTCCCCACCTAGTGGACAGTCAAAAAAATTAACTCATTTCTGGCCTGATACAAACTAGTATATGTATCCACACTTGTCCTATGCTGCCTGTTTTAAGACAGAATGGTTTGGTTTGTGCCATATAATTCTAATTTCTTTTAACTACAGATATCTATGAGTAGTGAGGGAGAGGCAAAAGATACAACTTATGAACTTGGGTATCAACTGTAAATTGGTTAGTGGTACATAAACTTTTTATTTCTTCAACTGATAGTCCATAGACTCATTGCAAATGATTCCAAGCAGTATCCTACTTCTCATATTTTTAAGTTAAAAGGAGAGGAAGAGGAGCTATGAATGTATGAGTGCATAAGACTGTTCTTCTAAATTCAGTATCACTCCCAGATACTTTTATGACAAAGGTGTCACAAATCTTAGATTGGGGATGGAGATAAAGCTAGGATAAGCTTTGTGGAGTACAGCCTGAATACCAAATTAAGTCTGCTGTGGGAGGGCTTAATACAGTTTTTGTTAGCCACCTGGATCATCTGTGTGAAAACTGTTGTACTTTCCAGGTGTCTACCACTGAGGTGAACGGCTGTGGAGATCTCTCCTTATTACTGAATGAATTCAAGAACAAGGGCCATGTGGTAGCTGGAATGTGAAGAGACTCCTCAAGTGTGTAGGAGAAAATAAATGGAATAACCAGCTGGTTTGCATAAAAATCTGAGCTACCTGAGAAAGTCTAGATGGATTCAAGGGAAACCGGTTCTGGGGAACAACTATTTATGAAGGCGATCACTATTAGGAAGACCAACTTCACTAAAAAGTGTTAAATGAATAAGTAGCATTACCCACTCACAGTTCATTAGCTCAATTAGCCTGCTGAAATATCCAAGTCTCATGAAATGCAAACAGCAGACAGGTAGATCTAATGCTGAATGCATGAAGACTGTCCTGATCTATTGTATCACATCAGTATTTTACATTCTGATGTAAGAAACAGTGCAATTATGCTGTCTCGTTTCCTGTGTAAAAGATGGCTGTAGATGTGTGAGAAAAACATCTGGGATAGGCAGGCTGTTCAGCTCCAGGGTAGCCAGATGCAGACTGAAGTCTGCTGGGAACTATGCGGTCTCCATGACAACTGATCGGAACAGGGGGAAAGACCGAAGATAAAATTCTTGGTTACCTCCTGCAATCATTTCAAGGAAATTCTAGACAGCAAAGGCAGCAAACCGCTAGTCTCTGGCACAAGTACATGCCTCAAGATGACTGGAAAATTTCTATATGGGACCTGTCAAATTAACAGGGTAAGATTAACCCCATACCAAATCTCAGAGAATCTGGATGAAATCTGCTTTTTGGATATATGTCAGTTTTGACTTCTGTAGGATAACCTCAGTGTCCATGAAATGAAACAGACTGAACAAGCAGTCTGAAGAGTGATGATGCTCATTTAGTTGTGCTCCCCTTTATTAACCAGCTGTTTAGAGAATGGCAGGGCATAATCATATATCTTCTAAGATAAATTTTTATCTGGAACAAGAGCCTTAGCAGAAGCAGATTAGAGGACACTGCACAGGTAGAAGCCCCAAACCACATCAGAACATGGGTTTTACGATGCACTTTTGTAAACTGAAATATAAACTCTGAAGGCTGAGATATTTTTTAACAGTTACATAACACACTGTAAAAATTACCCTCTTCATCTTGAAATTTCAGTTGTTTCTGAATTATCCTTTCCTTGGGGCGGGCTGAAAAACATCGTTCTTCTAAGTGATAGGAGCCTTGGAGTCGATAGCATTGATAAGGAAGCAATAAAGGTCCAAAACCAATCTCTGAGTTCCTAATAATAGAGGTCAAAGGAGGAGAAAGCCTTTTCTTTTGTGATGACTGATGCTGATGGGTTGATATCAGTTACTATATGAACACGACTGGATTGGCACTGCGATGAACATCTGTTTTGGAATGAGAAATTTCAGAGCTGATTGTTTTGGGTAGAGAAGAAGAGAAGGATCTCTCTCTGAATCATTCCCCGCATACCTCAGGAAGAGATGTATCATATGTATGATGGGCTTTTGCCTCACTGGAATGGCTATCCTCAATATCTAAGTCCGTAGCTTTCTTCGTAAGTAAGGATGAAATCAACACAGAAAGTACGAAAACTTAAAGGAACTCCTATAAAAGAATAAATCTCTGAAACCATAGGTGAAAGCTTTCTTTTAAGAACTGCCTACAAGAATTTTCCATTTTGAGCCAGTGGCAAATAAGAGAAACTGAATGGAATACCTGGCATACCACTTGCGCCAAGCATGAGGAAGAACGTAGCAAGAATAGTGCCATAAGAGTACCATTAAGATAAAAGTCTTTAGCCTTATGTATTTATTTGCAACTGAAAAATGAAGTCCTGCATGGACTAAAATTTTGGAAAGAGGAGTTACAAGCCCATTGTATCACACAGAAAAACACAATACAGAGATGTTAGATGACTTGATCATTTATATATGATGCAGATGACACACAAAAGATTCTAAAAGCACTGCCTAGAGTTAGATTACATAACTATTTATCACAATGCTTATTGCTATCCACAAACCTTTCTGATTTGTTGGGTCTGACCAAGTGCATGCTGCGTGATGGTATTTTGGTTTGATTGTGGAGTATGCATCTGAGGTGCTGTCTGGACCAGGCCAGAAGAAGAAATAGGAGCAGGTATTTGTGATGGGGTCTGTATTCCAGCTTGTGATTGAGCCTAGAGGATGAAGATAAAATATTTACATTATTCATATCTCATAGTAAATTACATCATGTAAAAATCTATTGCATAGATTATGCTGAATAGCAATAGCACATATTTTGGGAAGGATGAGCGTGAACTGTGTGTAGGAGACAAAATTTTTACTCTGTTTGGTACAGAGTTCCCAGCCAAAAGATGGTGTTTATTTTGCCAACAGAGTTTAAGAAAGATAAAGACAAACTGGAGAGGGTCCACTGGAGAGCAATGAAAATAGCAAGAGATAGAGACAGCATAACCAGTAAGAAAGGACTCTAAGAACTGGGTTTGAGTAACCAGAAAGACAAAACCGATGATGCAAGAAAAAGACTGTTTTTAAGAAGATCATAGTAGTTTTCAATGGCCGTTGAAAGGCAAGAAGCTGTCTAACCTCCGGAAAGACAATTTCAGCTAGTAGTGAAGTGGAATACCAGAACAAGCTGCTTAAGGTTGTCACAGAATTCTAGCAGGATTTTAGAACAATTTAGACAAAGCTCTGTCTGGGTGCGTAGCTACCAGGAATAGCTCTTGCGCTGTGGACTGTGGGGCCCATCCCCATCAAAATTTTACAGCCCTCATAAGTATTGCTAAATGTGATGGTGCACATGCTAGCACCAAAGCCTAGGCCCAAAACATGCTACAGCAGCCAAGTACATGCTGGAGTTGAAAGAATACTTTGCTGGCACAATAACCATGTGGATGGCAATGGAATTCATCTAGCTATGTCCCAATAATGCCACTGAGAAATATATGCTTAATTCTACCTGAGACCAACAGGTTAAACTGTTTCAGCTTGGTCAGGTTACTTGTATACCTCTTCATTTATAACCTATTTTGGTTTATGCTGTATTTATTCACTGTGATACTACCTATAATCAGCCAAGAAATAGTATTTGTGTAACCATGGTTTCTTTTTATAACTCCACTGGAGTTCTACAACCTAGCATTCACATTTTTAAATATAATGAGCCATCACCACATAAGGAAGTTCAAACACGCCTTTTGCAAACAGGTATACCTCAAAGTAAAGTACTGGGTTTGTAGCTCTCTATTACAATTTTGAGTTAACAAAATGGTGGTATATGCTGATACAAAACAAAACCAACTGTGCATGGAGGCAGTACATGGTAAGAAAATTACTTTTCAGGAAGGAGTATCTGGGAACAAAAGTTGCAAAGAAAGAAAGTACTAGAAGAAGTTATAGAGAGATTGGCTCTTTGGTTTTTCTACTCTTTTCTCTAAAGCAGAAACAGGCTAAGCCTGATTTTTAAGTTAAACTTACAAGCAGCACATTTACCTATTTATACTAAATTATGCAAACAGTGCCATGCAGTTTACATGATGAAAAAAAAAAAACCACCCTTACTTGCAACTTTATATTTCCAACTGGTAGCTGCACTGCAGTGGTAGAATTCGGTCCCTGGATAGATAGCGGAAGGAGCAGCTGTGCAGTTCCTTGGGTAGTTAGTAAAGCTTGAGGTTGGGCAACAACTGCAGTTTGCGGCTGCCTCTGTGGATTAACATAAAATTGAGAAATGGCATTCTGAGGTTCAGCTTTGGCCACAGGTATCTCCTGCTTGATAACAACTGCCTTTTTGGCAACTGGATTCTGGCCACTAGTATATACCGATTGTCCTAAAGAATGACTAGCTACAGGTACAGATTGACTTGTACTGGAGCAGTCAGTAAGAGCATTTTCATCTTTGACAGCAGCACTGAATTGCTTCTGTTCCAAAGCAGCTGAATTACCAGAAGCTTGAGACTGTTGCTGTTGCCCCCGTTTTTCAACCTCAAGTTGCATTTTCAGTACTTCCACAAGTTTTTGCTCTTGTTCCAGTTTCCTTTTGAGCTCTTCAATCTGCTTTTCTTTTTCTTGAAGCTTGCGGTCCTTTTCTGCTACATCAAGCTCCATGGTTGAGATGCTTCCACTACTGCGATTCTGATTATCATCACTTATATTTGCTCTTAGTGGTGAAGTACTTAAGAACTGGGATGGTGACATCATGGTTATAATTTCTGTGAAAGTATCTGCCATACTAGTATCATCTGTGCTTAGACTAGATTGTTCTGAAGGAGAGGGAGATACAGGCAAAGGAGAGCTAATGTTTTCAGTATTTACTACTTTGCAGCCAGGTCCAGTAGATGTTTTTTCTGGAGGAAAGCTGGATATTGTATTAGCCACTGGTTTATTTAGTGTTGCAACAGGAAATGCCACAGTCACTTCCCCAGTGTTACCTGTGGCCCCAGTAGAAGTGGTTACTGTAACAGAGCTACTAGTAGCAACCCCATTGTTGTTAAGATCTTGGTAGGGTTTCAGACGCTCAATAAGATCTGTTTTTGTTCCAGAGACTGGTAATCCCCTCAATTTCAACTCCATTTTAAGCTCTGCTACCTGAAATAAAATAAAGCATGATAGTAAAAGAAAAAAAAAATTAAAACTTACTTATATACATTCTACCTTATTATCTCATAGAAAGAAAAATTATTTTTCAGCATATTTGCTAGTTATTACACCTCTGGGTTCTGACGGCGTGCATGATCCATGAGCACATGTCCATGACCTGCTACTTGCTTTCACTGTTTAAGTGGCCAAAACCTTAGTAGTGTTCAGTTGTTGTACAATGAATAGTAGCAAAGTTATGCTGATTTTTCATAAATATTCAAAATGGGGAAATGAACGTACAGCTCCAATTCTGGGCTAAAAACTTCTGAAGCAAACCTGTAGATGATGGCAGCAGTGCAGATAAAAGCACTGAACACTAGCACACTGAACCCCTTTGTTACACTATCAAGACAGATCTATTTCTGAGAAATTTTATCAGGTCAGTTGGATGATTCAACAGACCCATCAAACACAAAAGGCGCTCTCTCTAATTAGCAACTGAACAGTTACAGCTATGTGCCATCTGGGTTTCTTTTACAAACATTAAAAACTATAAGCAGTCAAAATTAATCTAATTTCTGACAGAAAAATGTTCTCAATTTTCCAATAAGCTTACAGACAAAGTGAAGTGCAAATGTGTTGAGTCTAAATTAATTCTGTGCTTCAAAATATCAATTAAAAAAAGAACAGTCACAATGAATGGCTTCTGTTTATGATATACATACACCGCATCTAAATGTAGAGTGTTTGGGCTATATGTATGTTAGAACCAACTCTAAAAGAATAAAAGGTAGTGACCTCAGTAATATTTCAGTACTTTGCCAGTCTGGAATTTTAAATTATAGGTCTTCATGATTTGGAAATGATGAAAAGTTACAGCAATCCATTTGCATGACATCTCTAAGAACCACAGCAATTTTATGTTAAATAACTGTCTACCTAACGATGATTATCAGCTGTTTCCCCCAGTCCGGTATCCTCTACACTTGCTTGAGAGTGCATTCCAATTTTTCTGTTTTTCAACAATGCATTTCTGAATTCTTAATCAGAACTGTTTTAGATGATTCAGTGTTAAAACCACCACCAGCAGGTCTGCAAGTATGGCTTATGTTACTGTTACCATATTAGCAGGAATACCAATAAATTATGCAGAAATGCGTAACTGAACAGCTTTAATCACTGCAAAGCACAAATTCACACATCTTAAAATGTTGATAGTTAATATCTTGAAGTTTGAAAAGCTTATTTCAAACACTGTTGTTTGAATTGCATTTTATAGACTTGTTTCATATTAACAGATTGACTTTAACGACCATACATTACTGTCTTGAGAATCTGATTTTCCAAAACCTCTTTTTTTATCCCTTCAAGTCTAAAAAAAATACTCACTCCCATCCCTCAGAAACACAACAGCGTGGTGAAGGAAGGGAGAAATGAATAAACTGCCCACTAGATGTCCCTACTCCTCCGCTCAGGTTTGGCACATTCATGTAGTTGCTATTGAAAGAACCTGAATGTAAACCCCCACAAGTTTCTTCAGATTCATTTTCATTAGGTCCCTCACAGTATTAATTCCTGTTAATGTACTTCTGAAGGAAGAAAATCCTATGCAGTGTCTTCATATTACAGTTTAAACAGAGTTTACACAGTTAGATATAACTTCAAGAAGCTTTTATGAAATTTAGTGTTCATTTTCAGATGATGTGTTGAACTCTGGTAAGAAGATCTCTTATTTTCTATTCTTTTTTACTAGTGTTACTTCTGTGTTGGCTTTATAGCAGCGACCTTTCCAAGTATGTTATTATTAGGGCATCTTTTAATTTATACTGCTTAACTAAACCTCTTCGTTGATACACTAAAATTGTCATGAGGAAATTACTGTTCCAGAGTTTAAATCTGCCTGGGCTAAAACTTCACATGAAGTGCACCTCATAGTTTACCCAAGGTAGCTATGTACCTATACAATCTGTCTGAAATTCTTTTTCCTTTTCTAATTCTTTGGGAAAGAAATGTCATTTCTAGAACATATGCATGTGAGGAGGCTAAATCAACACAAATTTTTCAGTCCAGAAGAGTTGTGTATGAAAACTTTGACAATCTTGTTCTTAACAGTTAAGAGAAAAGTACAATTTTCATTGGTAAATAATATCCGGGCTTATTCTTGACAGTAACAGTTTCCAAATTATGACCTATAGTGATGCACAGGAATGGACAAATGCCTCTTTATTTTTTACCTTCAAGTCATCCAAGCTTGAAGGTAGAGGTCCTGGTTTCCGGCTAGGAATATTACTATTCTGTCTTGGTGAGCTGGCAGCTGATGTCGGTGTACTGTTGTTCAAAGTATTCAGTGGTGTACTCCCGTTGTTACTCTGTTTGTCATTCAGTGGCCTTCAAGTGATAAGAAAAAGGGAGACAATGATGTCAATGCTAAATATATTATGTTTTCAATCAAGAAGCTGTGATTCTGAATCTAGTGTCTATCAAGTTAATGAACAAATTAATTTTTTTACAAATACATATTTAACATAAAACATTACCATTAACTATTTTTAGTAAAACAGCACAGAAAATAAAACATAACAGAGAATGGTATGTTGATATTTTACTTTCTCTTCAGTTAAGTGTACTAATTTATGCTTCATAGTTTTTACTATTGTCATGGCATCCCTGAAGGATACTATGGACTGCAGAATCAGTTTATACAAATTAATCATCAGCTAGGGCAACTAGTTACTTTTTAATTTGACATCAATTAAAAAAACCCACAACATTGAACTCTATGTATCAACCCTACATACATGTCCAATGTTCATATATAGTAAGGACCAATGTCAAGGCAGTTTACTCTGAAGATGACGCATTTTTATCAGCTGTACTCATAAGAAGAATCTCATACAAGGATCTCAAAATAATTGTAAAAAATTTAAAAATGCCATACACTAGGTACCATAAGTCAGCTCTTTTATTTCGTTCGACTGATTTATGAAGAAACGTTTCTGAAATGTCAGTAAATGGACATAAGAAGCGTGGGTAAGCAGGCAGAAACATCTCTAGTCCAAATGTTAGGATACATGGTAATTATAAATATAACCACAGATGGTATCTTTAACTTTTCTAGCCGCACTTGCTGAGGAAAAATAATTCAGTGAAAACTCATTTTAAAAAAAACAAAAAAACAGCTGAAAGTCATTTGAATTTGGGGTTGTAACTGTGGCACGTTACACTGTAAGCACTTCTAGGAAAAGATTGGTCTTAGATGGTGAGAATGAAACTCTGCAGATAGTCAGCTTCTCATTCTGCTATAGGGTGCTGGGAACTCTTTGAAGATTTACTTTCTGACCGCTTCCACCTATAAATCAGTAAGTATACTTTTCACTGTTAGAAGTGCTGAAGATCAAACACTGATGAGGAACTCATATAAACATTAGAGATGAGGCTATAAACAATATACAAATTTCACCTTATTTAAAATGACTGTTTCTTCTTATTTGTAAACTGCAAAAATGTGGTCTGTGAAACTGATGTAAAAAGACAATAAAACCACAACAATAGCATGTGTCTTTGTAAAAGTCATCATCTCTAAGCTTCTCTCCTGCTCTGCCTACCTATGTCATATTTGAGTGAAAACAGTGTAAAAACTTTGCTTTTGCGTAAATGCTTTTGAGTTTCTAATATGCATCTGGTTGGAAAAAAATGCATCTGACAGGTATAAGGTTCTGTTTCCATGTCACGCAGAAATAACTAGGACCATTTAAAGGCTTATCAGACTTCAGGAGTATTTTAACAAGAGATCCACCTCATCACCTTGTTAAATGAGGCAAATAGTACCCACAGTGATGCACATTGCCATTTAAGTGTTCTTGGGTTCTGACTGTCTTAACATTTGGAAAACACATTTACTTCTAAAGCACGAAGTCTATAACTGATGTATATATCTTTTCTTTAAAGGACACAAACAATGCTTCACATACTTCAGTGGTGCAGGTAGAATTGTCTGGTAGTTGTAGTGTTGTTGCTGTTGGCTCAGGATCTGCAGCTGCAAAAACAGTTGCTGCTGTTGTAGCAGACGAGCATAGTTGGAGTCCATCTGTGGCTCATTTTTCTCACCTTTCTGATCAGGTGGAATATATTGATGATACTTCAATTTTTTCACCCTTGGCTTAGGTTCTTTACATTTCTTGCTCCGATGCTTATCATTTGGGTTCTTTGGGTGGCTTTGCTGTTTATGGAAAAGATTGAAACAACGATAACAGACACCTCATTTACAAGCAGTTTTGTAAGGTACAAAGATAAAGCATACAGGAGGGCGTTTACTGCAGAGTTGCTGAATACAATTATCTCTGCAAACCTGCCCAAAAGAATCACCTACCATCCTTGAAAAGTTAATGTACTCCAGCTGGCTTATACTGTGCACAAGAAGGGGTCATCAAATCACAGTTTGTGAATGTTTTTTTAATAGATGGCACAAATGAAGCTAAGGGATTCTGCTAGTCATGACCTGTCATTGCAAAGAGGCATTCTTAAACAGGTAAGTTCAAAGCCACTTAGCACTTTGTACAAGTAAAAGCTAGTATCTTAAAGTCTGTCTGTAAACACTTGCGGGTCAGAAGTACTTACAGGTCTGGATTAAAAGCATGGACAGACAGTCCTATAAATTACAGGATTACTCTTATGAAACTTTCAGCAGTGTCCTTATTAGCAATACCTGTGCATGTGGTAAAATTCTCTTCCTTTATGAGCTCTTTGAAATTATTTTGAGTGAAAAGTTGAAGGCAGTTACCTAGACATATAGAAGGTATCAAAACAGAAATCCTGTGTTGATCCATGCACATTTATCACACAGATAGCCTGTTTTGAGGGATATCTGAATTTGTCATTAAGGTCCTGCATTAAGTAAGCTGGTGTAAGTCCAGTGATTTCACTGGATATAGCCAAATTTATACTAGAAATAGACTATTAGAGGTCATCCTTGTAAATTTAACCAAGAATTAATTTCATGTAGTTAGGTAGAATTCTACATGCATATAACCGTTACACAGCTGAAGACCTTTTGGCAAAGTTGCTGAAATGAAGTATTACAGACATCTTCTAACACAAACCCCTCTCTAATTGTATTTGAAGAAGTTTTCCATGCTGCTGCTAGGTCAGTGCAGAAAAGAGAATTGAGTATGTTCTTCTGATATTCAAATACAAGGATACAGTAACTTCTCTCATGCTGTGTGTTCTGCTTATACAATAAATGAACTAAGAAAATAGCTGCAGAAAAGGAGGAATGCTGTTCACCAGTTTGCCTACAGGTAGACTATGAATGCGGTTGCCCCTGTTCCCATTAAATTATTCTCCATATAAAACTAGATTAGAAAAGATTAATTTCACCAATGGAAAGTAGAAACTCAATATTGCAAAAATCTAGTCCTTATTTCTTAAAAAATTCCATAGCGATGTAATGCAGAATTCTGCTTGAAAACTTTTGTCAGCTGTACTGTAAGGACCTCTTGAAATAATGAGCCAGTCCCTGCAAGTGTTAATGGTTGATCTTAGCATACAAAAGCTTTCAGTCAACAATCCAGTATGTTCTCCTGAACACTAATAAAAGTTGTTGTTAGTTATAGGCACTATAACGTTACTTGTGTATTTTTTCATTAAATATAGCATTGGAAAAGGACATAGATTAAGAACATAGTCCTCAGATACCATTATTACAGACACCTACCTTTACTAATGTTGGCCCAGGCTTTGCTGCAGATACAGTATTTGTGGTCAGGGTGGTTGTAGCCGTAGAACGTGTAACATGCTGTTCGATTGTAGAGGGAGTTTTGAGAAATTCAGGAACTGGAGAGGTTAAAGGTGGATACTAGTATTAAAAAAAAATATAAGGAAAGAGAGAAACATTAAAAACATCCAGCATCTGAATAATTGAAAAAATGTGAAAAGGTTAAGACAATTTACTATCATGTCAAATTCACAAAATATTTTTAGGAGGAATGGCAAAAACAGGAGACCCTGGTGTACACTTTGGCACACTTCAAATATAGCAAATAAGAAACTGGTTTCTTACCTTGACTTCTTAGTTTGCATTTTAACTACTGCATGTAAATGTATCCAAAATCTGTTTTTACTAATACAGGATTTACTTCTAGTTTCACCAAAGCAAAGCAGTAATTGATTTTAGTATCAATTTTTGGAGTATATAATAATAAATATTTTCCCAACATTAACATTTTTCTTAATTATTATTGTTTTTTCTGCAGATAAAAAGAATGATAATCAAAAAGGATTTATAACAACATACAAAAAAAGCCCTCAGGAAGGGCTTTGTTTTCATAACCTTTACACCGTTGTGTTAATTTGCAGAATTCTTTTCTCCTTTTAACATACATGAAAACAAATAAAGAAATATAATGAAAACATTTTCTTTCTTTCTTACAAAATCATAGAAAAGACCTGGAAGGACCTTCAGAAGTACCCTCACCCATTCAAGTCAGGAACATTTTACTTAAACTGCTCCTAACATGTTTGTCTCTGGTTGGTAGCCCAGAATCAGATTAACTAACTGAAGCCAGTTCTTAACTTTGTAATTGCAAAATTCTTCTAGAACTGACAGCTGTCATTAAAGTACTTTTGCTCCTGGCATAAGGATAAAAAAGAAATCTTCTCTTCAAGGTAGTCAGTCAGGAAAAGGTTATGTCAAATAAATTTCTTTTCTTGTTAGCGTTACCAAGTTTCATATATGAAGGCTTCTAGAACCAAAGAATTACAGATTTTAAGAGTATAACTAATTTCTATACTTTTATATGCAACTAAGTACAGAAAAATAGTTCAAACAAAATTTTATTAAGTAAAATGAGAGATAAGGGTTAAAAATAATTAAAGGAAGAATGGAATGCATTGTTAGCAAAGATACCACCATTTGTTATTACTCTGCTTGAAGCAACATTAAAATTTGACCCTAGACACACTACGCATATACTGAAGCAGCCTACTGAAGTTACACCGCTTTATTACTATAGAATTGAGATCTTCACTATTTTCTGTCTGTGAAGTCAGAATCTTTTGTACACAAGGAGAATGTTACCACCAAAACTAATACCGTCAGAAAAGCCTCCCTTTCATGAGGGTCAAACATCAACATAGGAAAACGAAATTCTTGTTTCAGAAGCATCACGCAGCAGCAGAGCAGATGTATTTTGAAGAGACAGCTTCCTATTGTATTTTCATGGGAACCACACCTCTTGAGTGTGCCAGGACGTGCATTTCTTGTGTATTTGACTGCCAGCACAATTATATTACTGTATAGGTAGAATCCAGTAGCCTGAACTTTACTGAGTTTGTTCCCTTGCTGTTACAAACACCATGTGTGTAATTTCTTCTATAAACTTACAAAATTCCATATAGGCTTAGGACTTTTTTATTATTCTTCTTCTTTCCCTGGCACTATTATGCCTACCAGAAAATTCCCAAAAGTTTTCCTACATAATAACCAAACTTCACTGAGCTTAACTTTGTCATATCAATTTTTTCTCTGCCGAAATTGTTTTCTGATTTAAAACCTATTTCCTTCTGTAGTGAATATTCCTCTGATGGGATATAGACTCTGTACATAAACAGATCTCAGCCTTTGTTTTTCTAGCTACACAAATGAATTTTTATTCTTTTCTCATAAAAGAGATTTTTCATTCTCTGTTTGTGTTACAGTTTTCATTAGTCTTTCTTGGATTTAAGTAACTAGAAATGTATAGGATATTCCATATGGGGTCTCACTGGATCCTTACACTGCCATTAACACTTGTACTGGAATCATCTCTTCTGACATACTTGCAATTTTACAGAGGAAGTACACAGTAGCTCACAGTCACTTCACTGCTGACCACTGCACCCCATCTGTCTTCCTCCTCAGTTTTCTCTTGAGTCGGAGTCCCCAGGTTTTCACATTTCTTTTTCATGGGAAGGAGAAGTGTTGTGTATTTTTCTTTTTAAGAACTATTCCATTCTATTGGAATGCCATTTCTCTCCTAAAAGCTAAATCAACCAGTTCTTTCTGCATAACAACACTCCAACTCTGTGCTGACTATGCCTTCCAACTTTTGTTACGTGACCCATTCTTATGTCAAGGTTGTCAATGGTAACAGGAAACCAGAATGTCCCCAAATCAACTCCTGCAGAGCACTATTACCAACTTCCTTTCAACCCAATACTTCCCTCTTTCTGTCTTATCTCTGCTAGTCTCCATCTTCTCAAGTTTTGCTAGTGTTTAATACCACACAGTATTAAATCCAGACAGATGAGATCAGTTGTATTGCCATTGTTTAAGAAAGCAGTATATCACCTAGTACAATATTCCTTTTATAAAAAGCCCATCCATTTCCCTTATATTCCTATCAGTAAATATCCTTTTTCTTCAGAACACATTCTAACACCTTGCATTCTAATTAAGTCAGACGGGTACTTCTCCCTAATTCATTTCTTCCTGTGCTCTACTATTCTTCCATGAGATTGTACCACAAAGGACTTACATCAGTTTGCTAAAAACACTTGGTACACACTTTGCAACTTTATGTCCTGGTTCTTCTGTATTTCTGGGATGGCAATTATCAAGCTGACAGTCTGCATGCACTAAGCTCTCTGACTTTTGCTTACAATTAAATTACAGTAATTTTCCCTTCGATCTCTGTGTTTCTTTTACACATTTTGCTGCGTCTCCAACCGTCAGCTGCCAACAGGCAGCTATAGCTAGCTTGCCGTAACCTATCTAAACTGTACAGTGGTTTTGATCCTTCTGTAGTGCAGCCATCCAGAGGAAAAGCTCCTGATACTGCTTTAACTAAACTGCAATATTCAGTATGCCATGCCTAGTCACTGAAGCATTGCACACATGCCTGTCTTGGGGTTGTCTCAGTTTATGGTGGCAGGCTAAAGATATAAATGCCTCTATTTTTATATCCAACTTTCAAAGTGTTTGCTCTGGAAAGCATCCGATATCTACACAGTATCTGTTATTTGCTGGACTTGCATAAGAATTGGCAGGGGACTTTAGAGGGACTTACCCTTTAAAAAAAGGGTTCTGGATGCTGTATTCCAACATACTGCACTCCTGTTGCTATCAAGTTTAAAAGGCTTATTCTAGTTGTAGCAGTAACATTTAAAAAAGCACTTAGTTTGTCTTTGAATCAAAGTGTCATGTACAGTATTACCATAAAGCTCAGGAGAATTCTAATGATCTCATGATTTTCACTGGTTCTTAAATTTTCTTTTCCTGAAGTCCCATCTAAAAAAGCATTTTAAATGTTTGATACTTCAGCTTATTCATTACATCATCTTTTACCATTCATCATTCCAATCCTTCTTGAACCCAAACAACTTGATCTCAGACATAGTATTTAGCAACCCTTTATAGGCTATGAAAACAACTCCATAATGACAGCACAACACAACTCTTTCTTTAAAATGGAAAAGTTAGTAACTTTAAAAAAAAACAACCCCAAAACACCCACCTCTAATTCATATTGCTTGAAACTTATGGTGTTAGACATTCTCTTCTTGCCATAGAGTAAATTACTTTTTCCTTACATTAGTTGTTATCCTCAACTACAAAGCGTTAATGGCTACGTGAAATACAAAGCTTTTTACAGACTTCCCAATTTTATCTGCAAGTGTTGGATGAGGCAATGAACCATGCATATCATTTACTTGATAAATTTTTAAATTCAAAAAACTAAATTAACAGGTCTCAACTTCTTAACTTGATTACTTCATAAAGTAATGTAAAGATTCTTTCCTTTGAACAGATCTTCTATTTCCGGTTACAGATAATATGATTTCTAGACCTTTCCTTCTAACTGCAAACAAGCATCTAGCAGGTGAACAAGCTACAGTGACTATATTAAGAAAACAGTCATTATATTCTGTCTCCTCAAGCAAAACAATTCATCTGTTTTGAAGATAACCGTCTAATGTCTTCAGAATTGTGAACACCACAATTTGATCTGTTTAGAGTGGTGTGGTTAAGATGCCTAATCTTACCAGATGCAAATACATCAGGTTAAAGCAAGTTTTAGGTCATCAGTCAACGAGAGCTGAAGGTTCTCAAAGCTATGTTACATCCTCTGAGGCCTGGAAATGTGTGGAGGCAGAAGCCTTGAAAAGAACTCTGGCTGCACTCCACTGTTTTCAAAACATTCTTTTTATTTTATGTTGTAAATATAAAATTTGTCAGAGGAAATTAAAAGAATGAAGGAGCACTTTCCCAGACACGTCTCCTGTAGAGACACGCTGTGCTGTTATTCTTTATTTCAAAAGGAACAACAAGGTAAGCATCTGTTTTATTCTGCAGAAAAGCAGCTTCGCATTTCAGATCTGTGCACAGAAGCGGCTGTAATATGTTATGAAATCCATAAGCAAAGGATTGAAGTTCTGTCTGAAGTGCTTTTCCAATCAAGTGCTCTGTTACTTGTTGCTGCAATCACATCTCTCTCGTATGCTTCCTACTTGAAAAGCTTTTGGCATGTATTGCTTTGAGTATTTTTATTTAACTCTCCATTAGGAACCTAACTCTTTACGTAGGAATCCAATTTCATGTGGTTTGTTTTCAGTTTATTCAACACAAATTACATTCTCTCGACATGAAATCCAATTCACATCTTAATCTGTATGTTAGGAAACAATGAAATAAAACGGATGTGCTGTACTTTGTGTCCAGCATTGTTTCCGAGTATGAACTTCGCAATACTTTTTCTATCTACTGTAGTAATAAGAAAACCAAGGAGAGTAATTCCAGATCCTGAACTACTCAGTTGTCAAGAATCCATGGTCATTAAGACAATAACATCTTTGGAGCACGAACAATATTTAACTGTTTAATTTTACATTACTTTATACAGTAAAAACTCAATACTCAGTTCTGTCTTATCTTTTGTTTGTGTCTTGATTTATAAATTGCAGCACAGTTCCCTGTGTAGAGCCCTGGCTTTGCTATGAATCCTCTGAGAGTTTAAATATATAAATAAATGCATTTTCCAAAAGAATGCTTAATAAAAAGACAAGCACGAAAATAATTTGAACAGCAAATTTACGCATCTTTTTCTCCTTTGTGTAGTGGAGAAAGTGATGAAGGAACACTCTTAGGAAGTCCTCCTGAAAAAAAACTGTTACAGATTACAGTTGATCAACATTAACCTGAAGAATATGACACATTTATAGTAGTACCATTCACATATTGGTCAAATTTTGATACACTCTTAAATTCTTTCAAAATAAAGTATTTTAATGTTTGTGTTATACAGGCTAAAACAACTTGTTTTCACCAGGTACAGACTTGCATGAAATAAAACAAGTTAAAGTCCTAAAGCTTTTGAATTTCCATCAAATTCACACTTTCTGCTTAAGGAATATTGCTCAAATTAATACAAAATGTTTCAGCTAATTAAACAAAAATGACAACATTACCAAAATTTCTGTGTTTGCTTATACACGCATGGTATATTGATATCAAGTACACAAAGCTGAGTGCAGTATTATTAACGATGTCATTTGTAACTCACTTCATATATATAATACTGTGATGAAAACCCAAGTCCTTCCACTAAATAATTTATTGAAGTGTTAACATGGATAGTATTGTAAAATGCATCAATCTGAAACATGAATTATTTTCCTGAGATAATATAGCTGCTTTCATTCATGTACAACAGGAAAATGGGCTTACTGGGAGAAACAGTAGTTCAGGATCAAGGACTTTTTTTCCAGCATACACAATTGCTCAGCAGACATGCGTAAATTTGATTCAACAACTCATTCAGCATTCATAACAAGGCAAAATCTTTGTTACTCTTCATTTCAACACAAACTAATGGTTCCTCTAGGCAAGTATAACTCAGAATATAAGCACAATTTGTCATTTACTTAGCTCTGTCAGTCTGAAATGAACAAGCTGTTAATGAGTGGAGATGAGTACTGTTAAATCTGGCTAGTTTGGAGTTTGCTGACCGTTCAAGCTAGTTGCCATGAGACAACGTATGACAACTTTGCTTGCCTTTCCCTCCACTGGAGCCTTAATTTGGGTCTGTCTCTCTATCCAGCAGAAAAAGTTCCACGAAAGTTGCAGAAATCTAGTTAAAAGCAAAACCTTCTCCTCTTAACTGGGCTTAAGTTAGTGAGTTTAAAATTACTAGCTGAGGTATGACAAAAACCATCATAAACAATCTATTTAAGCTAAACATAGTAACCTTTAAATAAATACATGTATCTCATTAATGAATAAACTTACTGATTAACTCAAAGGTGAAGATAAAGACCTGTGAAGCAAGCGCTGTACAAGATATTCTAGAAAGCATCTAGATAACTATCATTATGCATATAGCCCTGTGTTCTCGGTAGCTAATAAAAGATAAAAGAAATTCATTTGTAGCACACGATGTTTGTTTCATTACTGTTTTGGCAAATTATTTTACATCAGCACTTTTATAATGTGATTAAAGATTGGGTAGGTGATGTTACTGTCCATTTCAAATCACAAAATTAAATTGTTGTACAAAGAGTTCTCTTCCAAAACTAATTTTTGCAACTCATGTGAAAACAGTCAAGTGTTTTCATTCAAATCCACTGTTCTTTAAATCCTCACACATTTAAATGCTCTACTGTAAAGAGAACATTTTATCTGCCAGGGCAGACTTAGTTACTTTCCTTTCTTTGTAAGCAACTCAAGAAAATACAAAAAAACTCATAGAAAAAGCAACATAAAGGTTATTTTCATTTCTTAAATAGTAAATTCCTTAGGCAGTGTTTTAAAACTATAGGAGAGAACATTTAAATTATGTGGGAAACCTTATTTTTTATGGACTTCTCTGAAGATAATGGAACTGATGTCAACTGTTGTTGTTTCAGCTAAGTTTAAAATTCTAAACAAGTTCAAGACCTTGCCCAGGATGAAGACAGACATTAAGTAATCAGTAACAGCTGGAGTAAACCATGGATATGACCTTTTAAACAACTTCTGGGAAAGCTGTAGATCTTCTACGGGCCATAATGAATTTCAGTGAATTTATGGCTTTACTACAGTCTGTGGGAATTTCGTCACTGCCAGCAGCTAAGCCAGGGTTCTAGTCTATACACTCCCAAACAGAAAATGGAGTCCCAGACACTGCTTTGCAACAGCAAATGTATTAATTCCATGTGAAACTGTGCCCCATTTCTATAGTGCCAGACCAAAAAATACACTGTGAAGATTTTGTTTCAACATTTAAAAACTGTACCTGTGTTGACGTAGTAGCATTTGGTGTTATTGGTGATGGTGAGTCACTTGTTTTTGGCTCACCAGGGGAAGAAGCATCACTGCTGTCTTCATCAAATGAATAATCATCCAAAGCTTGAGGATAATTCTCTTGTCCAACTGCTAGAATGTTTGCAAAGAAACAAGCAAAACAAATTTTTTTTAGTTACACAAATTAAATATAGACATAGGTGGCAGAATTAGCTAATTACCAGAAAACGATCAGTTTTCAGCACAGCCTAAACATATGGTACAGAAGTATTTATTCTGTTTTTAATATAATGACAGCCATATTAAATCATATTCAAAGAATCGATAAAACAAAGTGCATAGCAGACGTTGTTTTAGTACAAGATTAAAAGGTATGTTCAACATATGTGGAGTGCACACAGACACCTGTGACAGATTGAGTAATGGCCATATATGTTCGATTATTTTGTAGTAATTTTTATTAAGAAACAAGTTTTTTCAAAGACAGTATTATACTCCAACTATATAATTCTAACTTAGTTTCAAATAAAAATAGGATAACTTTAATTAAATGATGACAGAGTTTAGGACTCAGAAGCTGAAAGAATTAGTAGTAATAAACTTTGAGTACATTTCCTTCTAGTGAACTTTACCCTCAAGAGTTAAAGTATTATTTTCCACAATGCCATAGAGATAACAGATAGAAGCTGTGGGACTTCTACTTGCCTATAATAGCTTCTTTAACACTGGAGTCTACAGGAAGAATATTTTTTTCTACCAGTTCCATGGGGCCAGGCCTCTGAGCAATCTTCTCATTCAGATCATCCGCCAACCGAGCTCTCTTCAGTTTCATCTGAGTGGCTTGTAGTGAAGGCTCTGCAAAGGTCTCTAAAAAGATATATTGATTTAAATATTCTGTTCCATCTTTTCTCCAATTTCATGACAAAAAACATTGTCTTGTCTTTGCAATAACCGTTCCACTTTTATCAAAACCAGGCAAGTATTATTCTGAAAATTCTCAAATTAATAAGCAAAAATAAGACTATATGAGTAGACGTTGTTCATCCCCATGATTGTGTTTTTCTTAAGTATAATCTCTTTTTTGACAGCAGTAATATTTTGGTAAACATTTGTATAATATCCAACAATAAAGCAGGGAATACAAAATAACAAACACTAATTATAATCTGAAGACAGCATTTGCTGCTCTAATAGTTTACCAGTGTGAGCTATGGTAAAGGCTTAATTAATCCACTGATTTTTGGATTCTCTCTTGACAAACATCTTTAAAAGTTTACCTTTAAGAATAGCTTCTAGCACAAATTTGAGTCTTCAAAATTGTATTTCTATGAAAATATGGAGACAGTCTATCAATATGGATGTGATCTACCAATATAGAGACTCCTGTCTGGGTTTAGCATCCAAATGCATGTTTTGAAAACTAATGGCTATTAAATTGACTTGGATTATGGTTATTTGGTAATTTCTGTATTTGGTAAGATTATGGTGAAACACAGTAATACAGCCCCATTCATAAAAAGACTATTGCTTCAAATGACCTGAGCAACAAGGAAAATAACAAGGCAGGGTAAAAGTCAAGTTTATTAAAGGCTGTTGGGGTGGTGGTGGTGGGGGGAAAAGTACAAGGCTGTCAGGTTATTTTAGGGTATGAGTAGAAATTAAAGCAATAGATACACTACATGTACATACACCATGGTATAATTACTATTATAGAATAAAAGCAATATGCAATTGCGAACAAATACACAGTTGAGAATACTTCCACTGCCATAGATGTATCTATTATTATACAGATTTGGAATACAGATTACAACAGACACTGCAGAAGTAGAGAAATAGAGCATATAAACCTTTAGAAATAATTCGTATCAAAGCCTAATTCAGTTAGAAACGTGAAGTTCTTTCTAATAGCAGCTCAAAAGGTACATACAGCTGGGTACATACCTTCGAGGATGTGCATTCTGACCAGCTCAGACCGGTCCGGCCTGCTGCGAATCTTGTGCTTCAAAAAATTTTCAGTCTTTAAAGAAATAAGGAAATAGCATTAACTACTGTTTACTAGAAAAATCAAAGTAGCTTGATAAATCACTGATGTCCAATCAATTAATATATGCAGTTGCATTCAGACAGGTGGACATCACTGTTAGAACATGGGCAGTAAAGGGGTTTGTTTTGTTTTGTTCTATTTTTCCTATCAGTTAAGCAGTGCTAATGAATTTCTATCTTCCCCAAACAAGTTGGGAATGTTTCTGGATTTGATCCCATACCACCACACAAAATCACAATAATATAGGTTTGCTACAGAAATACTGCACAAGCATAATTTACCCAAGGATCCTGTCCTTAACTGGAGGTAGTATGTATTACAATATGACCGTAAGTTTATCCCCCCCACCTTGATCTGTGAAGGATTAAGGAAGTTCCTCTCAGATTTGACACCAATATTTTGTTTTAATGGATTCTTCCAAGATAAAAGCATATGTTATTACTGTAATAGTAATAATTTTTTCATGTACTCGGAGACTTTAGTATCACATACAACTGACTATCCATTTTCAGATGTTAATAACAAGTTTACACAAAGTCGTTTACCCTGGCTCGCTCCAGGCTCTTTATCTGCTCATGGAATGCAGCTGGACTTTTCAAAGCTGTGAAGGGAGAGTAAGAGTTAAATTGACAGGAAGTGATTTCCAATCAGTATGCATGTATGGGTGTTTAACACCATCTCAAAGTTGTGTTTGCATCTGACCAGGCTTACATTTGACTCATGCCAGTTATATTCACTTATATTTAACAGAGATGAGCAATGCTCCTATACAGAGTACTTGGAATATTTTATTTTAACAGACATTACCATGTAACAGTTAACTTTTTCACTATGTACACCAGGGTCTATTTACCAGAACTGTTCCACAGTAGAAATTTTATGAGGTTAAGGTTCAGAATGCCAAAATACTGTTTCATTTATTCCACTGTATTTACTATCTGTCTATACCTCATACTTGCTGTTACTAGAGAGAACTGGACTGTCCCTTGAGAGCTATTTGTGCTGATTTTTAAAAAAAATTTGTAGAAGCCCCAGATGTTCAGATTAGAAAACAGAATGATGGTTAGCTGCTAAACAGCCATAAAGAGTAAAAAACACTATTCAGCTAGAAATAACATGAATTGTAGAGTGCTTAATCTCAGTTGGATTGTTGAAAGAAGTGAAATGGCAGCAGGCATGATCCATCTTATTTGCCACACTTTTGACAGAGATAAGATACTGCAAAACAAAATCTTTAATGCTTTTTGACAGTTTAGAAGTTTTTTGCCTGGTTTCTCTCAAAAAGAAACAGATCATTCCGTTCCTGAAGATAATCAGCACTACAGACCTGGGAAGGTGAAGATGCTTTAGCAAAGCAATCTGAAGTCTGCTGCATACTCAGAAACCTTCAAGAGGCGATTAGCTTTAAGATACTGTGCTTTCAAGCTAGAATTCACCAGTGCACACTGGCCTATTTATAATAACTTGACATAATTTTGGTATGTTTTCAATGGCTGGGGTTTTTGTTTAAGAAAAATCACTTTTCACAGTTGAATCTTTTGACAACTTGGACTTATTATCTTGAGCCCAGTCTCATCCTACACTGTCCACTTAGGGATTCTTGATGTTTTCTGGGCACCCCTCATTCTGAGGCAAGGCTGATCTCCAAAATAAGTCAGAAGACGTTATACTAAACAATTAACACAGTCATTGGGAGCCCAAGTGGAGGAACACCAAAACATCTCTAAGTAAAGAGTGAACTGCAGTTGATTTCTAGGCCACTAAATATCAGTATTCAGGAGGACCCTCTTGTGATTCCTAAATTGATTTTAGGTATCGTAAGTGCTGCTGCTGAAACAACCATCATCTCTAACAGACCGAAAGCAATAAAGGAGAAAATGGACTCTGGCCATAAAGTGCAATTGCATAAAGCATGCCAATTACTTACTTTCAAAAGACAAGTGCTGTGAGTTCAGACATACAAATGTAACAAATACCCAAATTTACAAACATTATTTGCTTGTCAAAGCACTATGATCTGCAATTAAATTCCAGTGGTAGAACAGAGTTAGAGATAAACATGGTTTATTGAAGAACTGATAACTTCTTGCATAGCTGTCAAGGATGGCAGGTAGCCGGGCCAAAGAGTCAGAAGCTCAGCATTACAGAATCCTGAAGTCATGAATACATCTCCAGCTGTATTTATGAACTTGGTGACGTTGCTGCCTTAAGCGAGACACTTCACGCTTAGGTGATCAGCAGCATCTTAACTCTTCCAAAGGTAGCATCTAAAGGCATTCATTGAATTTTTGCCACTATATAATCTTCGTTTTGGAAGAGAATGCAAATCTCTTACACCAATTTGGACAGTTCGCCAGATGTGGCAAGTTGATCAGGAACTTCTGGCAACTGGAAAAAATGTTCTAAAACCAAAACAGTTTTCAAAAAGAAACCCCCAAAACCCCACCAAAGCCTCTTCCCATATTATTGGAAAGGTATTCAAACTCAGAAAGAAAGGACGAGGCACAGAAGCTTCTGCATTAGGTCATACAATCCAGCGTACGATGCCCAGCCTAATCCACTGCCTCATGTCCTGTAACATCACAGCTACCATCATGCAAGATTTGACACAGAAGACACGTCTGTTGGCACATGAGTCACAACTTCTGTGTGTCCTTTGTTTTTGTTTGGCAACCCTTGCCATCCTACTCCTTAAAGTCTGCTGGCTTTGTTATTGTTGCCTACTCATTTATATAATTCAGTTTATTTCAGTAAGATTAGTCATAATTTAAAGAGAGAAAATAAAAGGAGAATCAGACTACGTCTGCAAATCCTTGCGTTTTCATCACAACGGCTATTTTAACTGAAAGATTAGGTAAGCATGATTAGTTTACTTTGTACTCATTTAGATTACCAAAAGGATCCCACAAGTCTTTTCAAATGATAAAGTTATTTTTAATGATTCTCACAGAAATGCTTATCCTCATTATTTCATATATTCAGTTCATAATCAATACAGTATAGTAATACAAATTACTAGAAATAACGTGTCTTACGTGGCATGATGCCCTGGTCCACCAGCTGTTCTCGTGTCCGTCTTTGTTGTAGTTTCAGCTGAAGTACTGACAAAAGAAAACAATCATTCATTCATATGTAAGCATACTACCCCTCTGAAACTACCAAAAAAACATTCAAAAGATACCAAGTATTTCAACTTTAGAAATGTTTTTTCGATAGGTCTTCAGACCTGACAGTAACCTCTAAGACACCTATTGTTTAGGATCAACTGCTATTAACATAGTTTGGAGTGATTGCTTCCAATCCCCATTTATATTGGAGTTTACTGCTTTTTGGTCACATCTGATAAAGGGACTGTATTTCATCCATACATCCACTTTTCCTATCAGCTAGGCCTCATAAGAGGTACTAAGTATACATCTAATTCTAGGATTTTTCCACCTCCTTGTAACGCTACTCTTAGATTCAAGAAAACACAGTGAGGTATAGTTTATACTGTAAACTGCAACACGTAATGATTATACAGCCTTCTTACATGTCTTAAACCAATCTTACATGACTGTACTATGCTGAAATAGAAATTATGTTTGCAGAGCATTTTAAAAGAAAAGCTGTACGTGTTTGGTTCATCGTTTTTCCTTAAGGATTTTTTTTTTTAAAAATATAAAGGCTTATTGTACATTTAAATAAATCTTGCTGAAACACAAGAAACTGAAGAGAAGCCAGATTTTACCTGGCTTATTTAAAAACACCAAAAAAGTGATACCATCAGGAACAGACCTTATCTTCTCTCCGAACATCAGAAAATGCTGTTTTCCAGATTAATTGAGATATGTGTTATCATAATTATTTCAAGGACCAAATAAATGAATACTGTCAAATTTGGAAAAACTATTTACAGTTTCAGAAGTAACTTCTTATGTTTCATTACTAATAAAATGTTCAAAATTAACAGAGGTTCTCATCTTATTGTTACTGTAAGAATTAATGTGATACATTAAATATTATACCAGGAACGGCACAAAACCAGGGGGAGGGCATAGACATAAAGGCCTTGTACTTTCAAAGATTAGGGCTTTTTTGTAAGTGTTCCCAGGAAAATGAAGAAGAAGAAGAAAAAAAAGTTGTTTGTTTCTTCTATTGTTCACTTCCCCTTGTTTCTGTATCAATTTATCATAGTGCTTCATTATTTCTTAGACACATATAGCCATTACCCTAATGTGAAACTTCATCTTTTGAACAAGAGATGGTCAAGATGCTTGGTCAAGAAAAAAATATATTAAAGATGTAATATTTACATTCTTAAATTCTGTCTTGATAGCTTATTATGGATGTATGATTATGACATACTGTTCCCATTGTATTTCACAAGGAAGCAAAACAAACTAATGCATTGTCCAAAACATCAAAATGAATGTAATTTCTAAAAAGTTAGGCTAAGGACAAAGTTCATTGTTTTCAGAATTTAGAAGGAACCAGCTTATTTCCTGTTCTACAGTACAGGAAGGATACTCCTCTGGCTAAAGCATTAAGACTGGGAATAGCAAGTCCTGAAAACAAGGACGTTATTTTCTTGTGTCACACAAACATTGAGAATTTAAATACAAACATTTCAGGGCTGTGGCACGGCAGTTCTGTTCAGAGTTTACAATATTGTTACACAAGAATTACAAAGGACAAAGATGGGAGAATGCAAAAGCAACAACAGCAAAATGTAAATTGATGGAAAGTCATTCAAAACGTATTGAGTTGCTCTGGAAACTTGACAATACCTGCTTTAAGTAATGAATTGTGTTTTCCAAGTAATATTAAAATGACTCGAAAAAGTTAACTGAAAAATTATTTTATAATAGTTTTAATGATTTATTTTTTGTCTTCCTTAATTTTACGTGGCTCCAGGTAAGCTGTGACCTCTTACGGTATCTCTTACTAGTAGATGCAAGCCTGTGCTGCCTGAAGTCTGGAACCAACTCAAATGGTGCTGTTACAGACTCCTTTCAGCAGCACTTCCTAGGTTGGGTTTGGCAGCGTAGTATAGTGCTACACACTCCCAGCAAGTTCAGAGCATGGGTAGAGAAATTTCAAATCTTTCTGCAGAAAACTATGTGGGTTTCTAAGTCCAGTTGGTCTAACCTGCCCAAAAAAATGCAGATAAGTGTGTGCAAACACACATTTATGCAACGGTACATCCAACTTTAAAAATCCACAAGCTTTATACAAGTAAGTGTGAATTAAGAAAAATAATGTATTGGGTCAGGACTTAGCCCATTCCTACAGAAAACGCCAAGAAATGCACATTTCAGTGGAAATGCATATCAAGCATATGATATAATGTTACGATGTTAAGCTTCTATCCCTGGGGCTACTTCTAAGAATTTCCTGCTGCACTAGCACAAAGCACTGAGAAATTCACTAACTGCTGTGGTGTTTACAGGAAAGCAAAAACTCTGATACATTCTTGTTTTGAATTCTCTTGCTTACAACTGTAAAATCAAAAAAGCTCAGAGTTAGTCTTAAAACTAAATAGGCAATCCCTTTAAAAATCTTAAATAGGTTTTACCCATCCAAATGATGTGAGAGACAACTTATAAACAGCATGGCAAGACTACTGTATTTCAGACCCAATATTTTTGGTCTTGAGTAGGTTGAAACTTGACTTTCTTCTGTTCTTCACTCAAACTATGCTTCCTCTTACATAACTAGGAAGCCATAGAAAGGGTTGAAAAGCATGTCCTGCTTTGGGCAGAAATCTCATCCATGCTATACAGCTGTATTTGGTCCAAATTCACACCATACTTAAATTTGGCTTTCTTGGAACACTAAACACACTACAAATGCGTCTACCAAGTATTTTACCTAGTTACAAGCCAGTTTTAAACATATGCCTCTTTATTTCAGCCTCAAGGTCTTCAAGAAAAATGACCTGCTCTAACATCAGTTATGTCCAGGGTAGAGCTGATATACATCATCAGACACAGTAAGTAAATCAGAGTTAGTATTTTTTTCAATTCTATCACCCGGAACGCAGTGGATCAACAAGCGAATGCTGGTAATATTACAACAGGTGCAGGAATGTTATCACCGATGTTAAGTCATCTACCAACAGGTGATAGGCAAGTCATCTATTAAGAAAAAAATGCATTTGTGGTACATGGTATTTCTGATTTCTAGTATGTTTTTTACTCAGACTTTCTTTTTTACTGAGCTTTATCATAAAACCCATTTTGTAGGTGTAGCTGGTTCAGCCACGGCTACCTAAGCATTGCTAGTATGGTGCTTTCAGGTATTAGTAAACAGAAGTGGGAAAGTTAAACAACTTTCAATTTGACCTTCACACTATAGAACGATCATACTGTTTTGCAGAGTTGATAACAATTTGAAAGCCCTCACTAATTCACCAATTTGGACAGCTGGCTAAATTGGAAAATTATTTTGTAGGAAGTGCATATACCATCTACTCTATGAAACCTACTACAGACAACAGATTCTTGTTCTTCATTTTATCAGACTTTACTTATTTAAAATTCTGAAGTAGTATCATTGCAATCTCAAATGCAATGTGCAAAGTCTTCGCGCAGGAAAAAATAGCTTGACAGTGCTTTTTTTAAGAAATTAGTTTAACTCTTAAAATTACATATAAAGGGGCAGAGTTTTATCAGAAATCTATTATTTATTAATTAGAGATCTGGCTTTCCCAGATCCAGATATTGACATGACTCTCAGACCAAGGCTTTTCATCTTTCATATGAAAAGGATCAGACTTCTATTTGGCATTCCACTACACCAAGGCAGACAATGTTCACCGTTAGGTCATATGGTTGGATTGGATAGTCTAAACGCATCCCACCAGTTCAGGATTTAGCAATTATTGCATTTTAATTTTTCATTGGCAAGTTTGTGGGAGGAAAAAAAATCAGAAAGGCCTCACACTGCACTTTGCCAATACAAGTAAGCTAAATAACTACTCTAACACTTCTAATACGTACTTCTAAAGTATACTTTAAAAAGAGTCTGCCTGAGGTACATTCAGCTGCTGAAGTTTCTTTTGGAAAACAGACAAACCAACCGCCCCACAAACAAAAACCCCTCAAAAAATAACGTACCAAAGTTTCTGTGTCAAGGTCCTGTTTTGAACCCTCTTTCAACAGCACTAGTAACATGGAAGCATCAGGAACATACCATGTGTGTGTCCAAAGAGGAAGACACTTTGAACACTGTGAGCACGTGGTACTGTCCCATTGAGTGCGATGCAGCTCCTGCAGCTCCCTGTTTGTGCTGTCTGGTGCGAGGTGTGTCAGAAAGGGGGAAAGGCTATACCTCTCTCTGTCGTCACGCTCGCACACAGCCCTACACCATGGAAGCATCAACACTGTAAAAACATACCCCAGTGGATGTGTTACTTATGTTTGTGGCTGATGCAATTTCTGTCAGTTCCCGAAAATTAATGCTGCTTGGCCATGGCCATGATGGGTGGTATTCACCCAGGAAATGGGGGAGGAAGACTAAAATAAATCTGTTCAGCAAAAAGTAGTGCTAAGAATGTAGGTAGCTTATCTCTTATTTTCCAACTGGTTTCAACTAATTGTTTAGTGAACATTAATTCCAAATGTAGATGATGGGAAGCCCTGCTGCATAATTTGTGAATGTATTGTATCTATGATTTGTGGCTTCAATTATGATCAGATATTTGGCTTAAGCTTTGCAGAAAGAGTAAAGAGTGACCCATATCCTACACAATGTATAGTCATACAAGAGAATACGTAGTGGACTATAGCAGAAGGATGAGAAGAGCAGTAAGAATGTACCTGCACATAAACTGTATGTGCTCAGCTGTGAAGCTTTAGCATTTTTTAGCAAATATATATATATATATATAAAACAAACAGTTATTGTCTCTCATAACACTACTTGCCTACCCATAATCTGTTAACCTACACTGGGCATCACAAAGCAAATAAGGGATGATCTTGAAGTTGTCCCATGTGTATCTGGACAAGTCATAAGAACTGTGGGAGGACTGAAAAAACAAGAGTTATAGAAGATATAGAGAACGTGCAGTTATTCACTTACTAAATAAATATCAGCAACTTACATATATTACATA